AAATCTTCACCAGTGACACATCTGACAGAGATTTAACATCCAGAATATATAAAGAACTCAAAAAACAAAGATGTGAAAAACCAAATGACCCAATTAAAATATGGGCTAAAGATTTAAACAGAGAGTTCTCAAATGAAGAAATAAAGATGGCTAAGAAACATCTTTAAAAGTGTTCAACATGATTAATAATTAGGGAAATGCAAATTAAATCCATCCTAAGGTATCATCTTACTCCAATCAGACTGGCTAGGATCAGGAGAACAAATGATACCAAATGCTGGCAAGAATGTGGAGAAAGGGGAACGCCCATTCACTGCTGGTGGGATTGCAACTTCTATGGAACACAGTGTGGAGAACTCTTAAAAAACTAAAAATGAACCTACCATATGACCTGGTTATACCACTCCTTGGCATATACCCAAAGGACTCATCCTATTGTAGAGACACTTGTACAACCATGTTTGTTGCTGCTCTTTTCACAAAAGCTAAGAGACGGAAGCAACCTAAGTGCCCCTCAACTGATGAGTGGTTAACAAAAATGTGGTATATTTACACAATGGAGGTCTATTCAGTAGTAAAGAAAGGTGAAATAATGAAATTTGCAGGTAAATGGATGGATATAGAAACTGTTATACTAAATGAAGTAACACAGACTCAGAAAAACAAACGACATATATTCTCCTTTATATGTGAATCCTAGCACCAAATCCTTTTAAATTCCATGTCCTTTTAATAGCATGATGCTATACAGCAGTCTCTTCTGCATGAAATAACCATCATCATCATGACTTCAGCTGTGCCTGCTCGCTAAACATTGTCACAATTTGGCTTGTTGACAGTTGTGCTCATTCATTAAAGGAGGGCCACGGAGTGTCACTGGACCCTTACTGGCATATCCAGCCACTCTTCCCAGCCAACTGTATGTAGTTTGACCCTAATTGCACATGGATTTGGGGAGGGCTAAAGTATACAATCTGGGGAAGGCTAGGAAGAGAAGGCATGACCCATGCTGGGTAAAGCCTATCCAGTGTGCACATCCTCAGGTCATACATACATCTCAGCAACCACTCAGTTATCTCGGTAAGTAAGCTCAGTAAATTCATTGGTTCCCCAGTAAAACTTTAATCAAACATTGGCTTGACACTAGAACCTTAAAAGGGAATAAGCATTGCTTAGCATCCCCAGGAAAAGAAGTTTCACAACCAAAGGAAAATTTATTTGTTAATGCTATTATGTCTCATAATTATTAAAAAAAGAAAGAAAGAAAGAAAGAAAGAAAAAGAGAATGTAAAAGATGTTAAAAGGATATGGGAATGGAGATATTTTCCAAAATAGACAGGAAAAATGACAAAGCCTAAGCAAGTGATGAAAGTCTATTTAGGTTTGTTATACATAAAGGATGAGACAAAAATAACATACACATAATCTTAAAATTTCAATGGTCATATTTTAGTCAACTAGTTTAAGGAACAAAATATAAATCTAGTCAGTGTTTATCTGAGAATATTTGGTTCTTTACCCAAGCCTTATCTACATAGCACATGATAATTAAAAGTTTCAGACTGGTAGAACTAACCTTATTAGATGTTTAACAACCATGCTTTAAGGCCTATACTAATGTGGTCAGAGGGACTTAAAGGACAGTTTTTGCCCCTCACCCTCCAAGGTCAACCAAGTTTCAGGGGTCATAGGTGACTATGGAACATCTCTCAAAATGTCCTGTAAATGTGGTAAATCACCTGTCCTCTTGTTCAGAGAAGGCATGGAGACCCCACCAGATGGACTTGAACCATTTTCCAGTCTACAGAGAGGAGAGTCAACTTAGAGGATACATCTCATTCATGCTCCCAAATGAAGCCAGATGTGGTTGAACAGGACCTTTGACTTATCTTCACATAGATGGAACTGGTAAAAGAAAGGAGCCAGGGCACCTCCCAAGCCCATGTGACCCATGAAGAACAGATCCTCAAATGACCTTAAGAGTGAAAATAAATTGGTTTATCTGGGTCAACTCTATGGTCTTAAACACCCAAAAGAAAAGTATAACCAAAGATAAATGGGGCCAATATAAATTTTAATATATATAACATATATTTAGTTATAGCTAAAGGCTACATAACAAGAAGGAGATACCTTCCTTTGAATTGTTTGCCAGGGTGGGCCAAGAGACTCCCAGACAGTAACCCAGCATAGAACTGGTAGAATGAACAGCAGACCCCAGTCTTATTTAAAGGAATACAACCAGCTATTGTTCTAAAATGATGGATAAATTTTTTTTCTCCCCCTATCTAGAAGCCTTGGAGAGAGAACTGACACTGATTCTAACCACTCCAACAGCTATCAAAATACCTGAAAGCAAATTCTGAATCCATTACTCTAGAGTCCAGCCTTGGAAGACAAATGAAAAATGAGGAAGAACCCAATAGGGATGCTTTTGGAAGCCTTGTCAAGACATTCCAATGGACTCTCATATGAACATTTGAAAATTGCCCTGTTCTGACTTTTCTCTAGTTCCCTGTTTAGAACTTGTAATGCTAATTGCTCTTGCCTTTACTTCTCCTTTACATCTCCTATTCACAATTCAAAGGCTTTCTTTTCCCCTTAGAGGTAAGAGTTATAAAATTTGGGAGTCTTTTTAGATAGACCCATTGAATGGGTACTCCAATTGCCTCACCTTCTGTCCAAACAGCACAGAAGAAGCCAGAGCGGTCTGCATTCCTATTCCTTTTTGGCAATTTGGGTAACCCCTTCAGAGTATGGTGTAATAAAAATAGAAGGTAGGAATTGGCTAGTCAGTTAGGGTAAAAAGACCCCAAAGAAAAGTAGCCATTTCTTGACTAATAGTCAAAACGTCCTTGGGACTGTTAGCAACAAACTCTGTTCCAAAGGCCAAAAGAGCCAAAAGTATTTGGGAGCTTGTATCTAATCCTTAAAAGATTTTAGAGTTACCTCTTCAGAGGGGGGAATGTTAGAGTATCCAAAAGCCCCATAAAAATAAATAAATGAAAGAAAAAGAAAAAAACACAAGATATTTTCACCTTAAATGATGTTAGTTTTCAATAAAGAATAATGAGATTGATTTTAACCTAAAAAAAAAAAAGATCCAACACTAAAAAAAAAGAAAAGAAGGTACATAAAACTTTTGTTAAAGGGGTTACTCATATTTCCATTGATTTTCGGATACATATGTTTAAAAATTCAAGTCTTTCCATGTCACAAATTCATTGGTTTTCTGGTTTGTTCGATATGTCCTTACTTTTTCTCATCATTTGTATGTATTGAAAATAGCTCTTAAGAGTCTTCTTCTGTCTATTGTTATGAAGGGAAAAATACTTAACCATAGACTTTGTATAGGTATTTTTGTCTTTTAAAAATGCTTCTATGACATAGTTGTTTTTCTCCCATATTTCATAAATTCTTAGAATGTATATGTATATATGAGTATGAGACAGAAATTCGATTTCACATTTTCTATATTTTTGATCTGTTTTGTTACATTTATTTATTTTGTGTGTGGGCATGTGTATGCCACAGTACATGTGTGGAAGTCGGAGAACAACCTGTGCTGGTGGGTTCTCTCTTCCATCATATGGGTTTCATCAGGTTCTGTGAGCCTCCCCTGCCATTACCTGCTGAGCCTAGACATAGTCTGTTTATGCCATTTGTACATAAGATTACTTATAAATCTTTTCTCTGTTTAGTTAGTCATTTTTTATTTTCATATCACATAAATACTACCTTACTACTTAAAGCATCTTAACTGATGCTCTTATTTAAAAGATATTGATATTCTTATTTAAAAGAATAAAACAAAGTACAAACACAAAGCTTAATCAAGGTGAATTTCTTAATAAACTAATATAAAATCATAGTGTTTCTTACTGAAAATATGTAAAGCTTTTTCTCTTTAACTCTGTTGACACAAATTAGTCACAAGCGAGTTAAAATAGATACGTTCCAATTTGTTGTTTCAAAGGTGAAAGTTATTTTTATTTTCCATCAACAGCACATTCTTTTCCATATCTACTCTCCATTCATATTAACAATAATGACAAAAAGTCTAGGTTGGTAACCCAATACTTTAAAAGATTCATTTCAGTCTCCTTTTCCTTGCCTATTGGTTTTGGTTTTGAGACAGGGTCTCATTTTCATAGCCCAGGCTGGCCTCCACCTTGTGGCAATCCGTGTCAGCATCACAAATGTGGGATCACTGGCAGCGAGCCACAACACCTGCCTCACTGTTTGTATTGTATGTATTTGTTTCTTAACTTTACTCTTGAGATTTGTAAATATGAAACCAAGAAGTTTAGAATAGCAATGCTTCTCACTGTCTTTTGGTCTATATTGAGGACTCTGATGTTTAGAATGGGCCTCCTTTTGTCTAGCCAGGCCTCTAGATTTCTAGCCATTAATTATGTTCCAAGTGACTGGAAGAATGAGACCTGGAAAATACCAGAAAATTCTAAGCCAGATTTTTTTTTTTGACAGGGTATTGCTATTGTAGCCCAGGCTGACTTCAAACACTCATTCCTGTCTCTGCCTCTGGAGACTCAGAGTGCTAGGATCACAAATGTGTGTCATACCTGGCATAAACCAGATTTAAATGGGAATACTTGCTTTGTTTGAAAGCTTTCACATATTTAAATGAATATCTATCTATCTATCTATCTATCTATCTATCTATCTATCTATCTATCATCTATCTATCTATCTATCTATCTATCTATCATTTGTATTTAATCAAGTCCTTTCTTATACCGTAGCTGTTTTAAAAATCAACAATGGGGGGCTGGAGAGAATTTCAGCACCCTCTTCTGACCTCCATAGGCATTACATGAGATGGGTGCACTTATATCCATACAGGCAATATAACACTCATACACATAAAATAAAAATAATAAATAAAATATTTAAAAAATCAACAATGTATTACAGAAATATGACTATAGCATAAGCTTAAGAAATACTCATAAAACATTTAAATATAGATAAAGACTCACCTCTATTCCTTTTCTTAATTTTTCATGTGTCTTTTTCTCTTCTTCAAGAAAATAAGTTTTCTCAACGATAGATTCTTTTGCTGTTATAATTTTATTCTTTAGCTTTGAAATGTCTTCCTGGATGTTTATAAAATTTAAAATATACAAGTCAAAAAAATAGTCAACATAAAATCCAAGACTTTCAATGCTTCCATAATTTATGAAAACTAGTCAAATCAAAATTTAAATTTGAGAAACAGGATTAAAATATTATTTCCATGGGCATGGAAAACATGGGAAAAATAGCAGTTACGGTGGTGATTACTTAACAATAGCACAAAGGACACTTAAAGTCTCTAATAAGAAATGATAGGTATTTTAAGTCTGCATCTTCTATGGTCTTCGAAGAACAGTAAAGGAAATACAAAGATGCTTAAAGTGCAAGTATTAATTCAGATTGATTGCACAGCAGCATTAAGCATACTAAATTGATTTGATCTGGATTTAGTAGAAGCTAGTGCCTCAACAATTTTTATGAATTATACTTTCTGCAACAAATGGATTGTTTCCTGTAATTTTTTTGACCACATAGTTTTATAAATCCACAGAGTATCTCCTTTAAGCATCTGCACATTTGGGAAATTGTTATATAACTCATGTTCCTAAATTTTTAAAAAATTGGGAAAATAGTTTCTGAATGTAGAGCAGCTATGAGTATTTTATAACATAATTTTTAATTTATTATTTACTAGATATATTTGCAGAAAAACAATAGAAAAGTTTTGATAGGTAATATTTCAAACCTGTATTCGTGTTGTTTGATCCTCTTGTGGATTTTGGAGATCTTGTTTAAATTTCTCTTTCATTGTCTTTAGTTGTTTTATGAGATCTCGTTTTTCATAGAGTTCAGTCATTAATGAACATTTGCTTTCTATCTCCTCTAAACTATCTTTATATGCTTTTATTTTTGCATAATATGCATTATATTTCATCATTTGTTCCTCAAATTCTTCTTGGGCTACTTCTGTGTCATATTTAAGCTTTATACTTTCTGAATATAAGGACTTAATTTGAGCTTCCAGGAGTCCACACTGATGTCTGGAATTCTCCATGTCAGCATCTTGCTGATAAATTTGCTTCTCTGTTTCTTTAGCTTCTGTAGCAACAGCTGCTCTTTGTTTTTCAAGTTCATGAAGTTCAATCTATAATATACGTGACCATTATCATTATTAATGCATGGTATTCAGTATGAGAGGAAAGTCATTATTTTGACCCATAATGCATATAAGAAAATCAACATAAAAATAAAGTTATAAGCTATGGCAAAAAGTTGATCCAAAATAGAAGGAATATGCAATACTGATAACATTTAATTATTTTACAACCCCAGAAAGGTCCCAAAATTATATATTTCTTGCTTGTTTATCTAAGTTATAAAATGACCGCATTTTAACATATTATATGTAAAGGAGATGCTTGATCATTTTAATAATGCATTTATGGGTACCAGAGTATACATTCAGGAAAGACAGTATAAAAATGATGAAGCCCAGAGTTAAACACTGAAAGAGTAGGTTCCAGCACCTTACTGCTGTTTGCTAGTTTGAATGATCAACAAGCTTAATTTCATATTTAAATTTCACTTTCTTCATTGGCAAAATGAGTACAATGGTGTCTACTTTTCCTTCTTAGAGCATCAGGCAATGCCAACTTGTGCCTCCTTGTGAAAACCTGGTTTCACACCGCCACTCTTCTTCTCTGGCTTTCCTTAGCTAACTCTTACTATTTCTTCTCAATCTCAATGACTCCTTCAAATAGAGGGCTCCCTCAGTGTTTAGTCACCATCTTCCTCTTCTCATTCTACATATTCTTTGTATAATTGCATTGATAGTCACTTCCTGATTTATTATCTGCTGATGGTTCACAGAATATAAGTGGCTACTGAGTTCTATACTCAGCTTACATGGGTCATTGCAAATTCATCATGTTCCCAAATCAGATTTCCTTCCCCTTTTATCAGTAATCTATTGCCACAACCACAAAGCCTCAGTGGCATAAAATACAGTGACATTTATTATGGGTATGCCTGGGAAAATTTGCTCTTGCCTAGGTGATCCATATGGTTAAGAGTGATAGAGATTTACTAGATGGTTCTGCTGATTTTGGTTGGGTTGTTTCCAATGTATAGGGGTTGTTATGCTTGATTTTAAAATGGCTTTTAGAGCCATGTGTGGTGGCGCATGCCTTTAATCCCAACACTCGGGAGACAGAGGCAGGCGGATCTCTGTGAGTTCCAGGCCAACCTGGTCTACATAGTAACTTCCAGGACAGCTGGGGCTACAGGGAGACCCTGTCTCAAAAAGACCAAAAAAAAAAAAAAAAAGAAAAAGAAAAAATTGGCTGTTAGAGGAAAATATTTAAGTCCTTTTAAATAGGGCCAATATATTCACTCCATTCCTTGTGTTGGTATTTTTGAAAAAGGAAGGGACCAAATTGTAACATGTGAAACTATGTACACTTTTTGATCCAGTTTACCCATGTAAAAGGGTTGAGAGGATATGAGAAAAGAGGAACCATTATTCACTACTGGTGGGAGTGCATATCAATACAGCCATTATGAAATTCAGTTTGGAGAGTCCTCAAAAACTTAAAAATAGAGGGGCTAGAGAAATGGCTCAGTGGTTAAGAGCTTTGACTGTTTTGCAGAAGACCTGGGTTTAAGTCTCAGCACCTACAGAGAGGCTAATAATTGTCCATAACTCCAGTTCCAGGGGATCCAACATCCTCTTCTGTTCTCTGTGGGCACTATACAACATGGGTGCACTTATATACATGCAGGCATAACACATAATACATCAATACATAAATGGATGATGAAAATCTAGTACACATATAAAAGGGAGTTTTATTCAGCTCTAAAGAAAAATGAAATCACAAAATTTGCAGGAAAATGAATAAACTTGGAATGTATATTATTAAGCGAGGTCATCCAATCTCAGAAAGGAAAAAACAAAAATAAAGACATGGTCTCCCTCATTTGTGGATCCTAGATTATAATGTATGCATATACATATATAAACAAATATATAACATTTAGAAACAACAAGAGAATAAAATGCATACTAATGAATGCATCTATATAGTATACTTACTTCATTTAAGTTGTTGGGATACTCTTTCAAAATATAACACATTTTCAATGCAAAATAATTCCTTAAATGGGTCCACACTTAATTCTAAGAGGAGCTATTGTGGTGCTGGAAAATTAGAATTTTAAATTATGGTTTTCAATGTATGAAAATATATCTACACTGTACTTTCTTTGTAAGTACTAATCAACTTAGTGCATTTAATTTAATTTAATTTAATTTAATTTAATTTAATTTAATTTTTTTTTTGAGACGGGCCACCCTATAGCCGCAACTGACGTGGAACTTGCCATGTAGACACAGAGATCTGCCTGCTTCTGCCTCCCCAGTGCTGGGATCATAGGTATGTGTCACCACACCCAGCTGCATTGTATTCTTTTTAAAAACTTCAAAAAAAGGAACAGATAGCAAAAAATAATAAAGATCATGACACAAATTAATTAAATGGCGTCTAAAAAGAAAAATACAGAGATCTTATTAAAGAGTTTGTTCTTAAAAAATAAATAAGATTGGGGCTGGAAAGATGGCTCAGGGGTTAAGAGCACTGACTGCTCTTGCAGAAGACCCGGGTTCAATTCCCAGCACCCACATGGTGGCTACGAACCATCCTTAACTTAAGGTCCAGGGGAATCAGAAGCCCTCTTCTGACCTCCGTGTCATTGCACGCCATGGTGTACTTACATACATGCAGGCAATATACTCATACACATAAAATAAAAATAAAAAATAAAATATTAAAATAAATAAATAAAGAAGATTGACAAATCCGAATCAAAAGAAAATGAGATAAGCCAGCACAATGGTTTAGCACTTGCCTCCAAATCCGACATCTTGCGGCTGATCCCCAGAAAACAAATTGTGAAAGGAGAGAATGAGCACCCATAAGCCGTCCCTCTGACCTCCAGGCTAATGTAGCATGTGCATGCCCACAAACACTCACATACACTTAAAAATAAGAATGAAAATGAGGAAAGAGCCAAATTAATAAAATTAGAAATGAAAATGGAGAAACTACTACAGATTACAATGAAATATGGGTAATAATTAGGGAGTACTTTGAAGTTATATTCCAATAAACTAGAAAAATCTAGAAGAAAAATGATGAATTCTTAAATACACATGTCTTAATAAAATTAAATAAAGAAGAAATACATGGCTTAGATCAGTAACCATCAATGAGACCAAAGCAGTAATAAAAAGCCTTCTATAAATATGAAGTTCAAGTCCAAATGGATTCACTGCCAAATCCTACCACAACTTTAAATAATTACCTAATGCCAACAACAGATGAGGACACAAAAAAGAAAATAAAAACAAAAACAAAACAAAACTGTAGACCAAGTCCCCTGATTAACACGGGGGCAAAAAAATCTCAATAAAATTCTTGCAAATTGAATTCAAGAACACATGAGATCATACATAATGACCAAATTAGCTTCATTGCAGGGATTCAAGATCGGTTCAATTTATGCAAATTTATACTAGGCACAACTCAACACATAAGTAAACTTAAGGAAAGAAATCACATGATCATCTTAGTCTATGTAGAAAAGGCATTTGGCAAAGTTCAACATCCCTTCATACAAAGAAGCCTGAAGAAACTAGGAACAGATGGGACCTATATCAACATAATATATGTGACAAACTCAAAGCTAATGTTATACTAAGAGAGGAGGTTCTGAGGGCATTTATTCTAAAATATAGAACAAGAGAAGTGTACCTACTCTTTCCACTCTTGTTCAATATAGCACTCAAAGTTGTAGCTAGAACAGTAAAACAAGAGAAAGAAAGAAAGAAAGAAAGAAAGAAAGAAGAAAGAAAGAAAGAAAGAAAGAAAGAAAGAAAGAAAGAAAGAAAGAAAGGGGAGATCAATAGGAAAGGAGGAAGTCAGATTATCCTACTTGTAAATTATATGATTTGATATATCTGAAAGACCCTAAAGATTCCACCAGAAAACTCTTAGACCTGACAAACACTTTCAGAAAAAGTAGCAGGATTTGAAAAAAAAAAAAATTAACGTAGAAATATCAACAGCTTTTCTCTATACCAATAACAAATGCAACAAGAAATTAAAAATCCTCGCTCTCAATAGCTTTTTTTTAAAAAAAGTACCTGGGAATAAGCTAAGGCAGCAAAGAGAAAGACTCTACAATGAAATGTCAAGACAGTGAAAAGAGTAGATAATAGGTGATGGAAAGACTTTCCACACCCCTGGATTGGCAGAATTAATACCATGAATACAGCTATATCACTGAAAGCAATCTACTGATTTAGTGCAGTCCCCACAAAAATCCCAATGACATTCTTCACAAAATTAGGGGAAAATCCTAAAATTCCTAGGGAAGCACAAAATGCCCCCATACAGCTACTGCAGTCCTTAGCAGAATGAGCAGCGCTGGACGGATCACAACACTGATCTCAAACTATGAAAGCAGCACGGTGCTGGAACAAAAATAGGTATGCAGGCCAAAAGAGGAGAGCAGGGGACACAGAAGCAAGCCCACAGAGCTGCAGTCACCCAATTTTTGTCAAAGATGTAAAAAACCACACATTGCAGAAAACCCAGCCTTTTTGACATACGGTGCTGTGGAACTTCAACTTCCACATGTAGTAGAATGAAATTAGATACATCTCTCTCACCTTGCTCCAAAACCAATTCAAAGTAGACCAAAGACCTTAAGGTAAGCCCTGAGACTCTTAAACTTGTAGACAAAAGCAGGCATAAGAAGGCTGGAGAGACGGCTCAGTCAGTGTTTGCTGTCAAGTGTGGGGGCCTGAGTTCAGATCCCTAGCACCTGCACAAAAGTTTGAGCATCACAGCATGCACTTGTAACCTCAGACGTGTATGGGGGGGAGGGCGACAGGTGGATCCTTGGAGCTGGCTGGCTCTAGGAAGAGGGACCCTCAATTGGGAAATTTCCTCTATCAGATTGGCCTGTAGGCATGTCTGTGAGGCATTTTCTTGATTGTTGAGTGATGTGAGAGGGCACAGTTCACAGTGTGTGGTGCCTCTCCTGAATAGGTGGTCCTGGATTGTACCAGGCAGAAGACTGAGCACAGGTCTAGCAGCAAGCCAACAAACAGCACTCCTCCATGGTCCATGCTTCACTTTCTGCCTCCAGGTTTATGCCCTGAGTTCCTGCCCTGGCTTTCCTCAGTAAGGAATTGTGATTGGGACACATAAAGCAAATGAGACTTTTCCTCCCCACGTTTGCTTTGGTCAGAGTGTTTCATCCCAGCAATAGAAAGCAAAGTAGCTAATTTGGTGACACCATCCTAGCCAAGTTGGTGAGCTCCAGGTTTTGTGGGAGACCCTGTCTCAAAAATTAAGATGGAAACTTACTGAGGAACACATACATGAATATATACATATACATACATATACATATACATACACTCTCCCCCATCCCCACACAAAGATGTAGTCAAGGGTGATATAATAACACAGGAAATAATTCCAAGAACTGACACATGAGATGACTTGGAAGCAAGAAGTTTCTGTACAACAAAGGAAACACTCATCAAAATGGTTAAGACAGCAAACAAAATGGGAAAAAATATTTGCCAATTCACAATTGGACAGCAGATTAATATCTAGGATATATAAAGAACAGGAAAAAATTACATACCCAAAGAACAAATCAGTAAGTGGGCCAATGAACTGAATATATCACTTAAAAAAAAGAAATACAAATGGCTAAGAAATACTTGAAAAAGTGTTCAACAGCCACAGTCATTAGCGGGCTGCAATTTAAAATTGCTTTGAGAGTCTATCTTATCTCACCCCAGTCAGAATGGTGATCACGAATAAAACAAACAACAAATGCCAGGGAGAATGTAGAGAAAGAGGAACCCTCATATACTGCCAATGATCAAGATGGAGGTTCCTCAGAAAACTGAAAATAGAATTAGCACATGACCAAGCTACACCCATGCTCGGATGGACACCCATCCACCCCCCCA